TTCCAGTGTAAGTATCTATTTTCAGAAGTTATATGGTTCTGTTGTAGAAATACATTCCAAGCAGAAAGCTGGCAGGAAACGTCACAACTCAGAAATGGAAAAAGAGACAGAGAAAAAAAAAAAAATCTGCCTGATGATTAATTAAGGAAACTCTGCCTTTTCAGATTTCAGGCTTTGCAGCTGGAAGAGAGATAGCAGTGTAGCAAGGATTTGGGTTGACCATGATGTGTGGTTGGGTGTCTGGAGATATGGAAAGGAGCAAAGTGAGCTCAAGTCCATTCTACTTGTGTTGCAGGTGGCTTTGGAGTAGGAACATGTGAAGACAACACCCATTGTGCTCAGCAAGTTCTCTGTGAGCTGGCATGGTGGGACCTGGAGGTCTTGCAGGTTCCTTGTCCTCGGTTTCTCTGGTTCAGTCCTGTTCTTCTTGTCCTGTTGGTGGCCAGTGCCTGATACACAAGGCAGTCTGAGCCTGCCCATTTTCTGTGCAGGAGAGACAGGCCAAACCCAGTATTTCATCAGCAAAACAGAAGAGTTTGTCCATTTTGGCTTGGAATCATACAGACATTTTAGTAGTGTTAAGATCCAGTGAGACCAGTGAACTTACACTTCTACGTGTGATGAGGAATGTGGCTCTTTGTTACTTCTAGCCAAGTGGGCTCTCACTGGGTGCTGCAGTGGTGAAAGATGCCACTGTGTTTCCTGATTCCACCGGTGTTTCCTCTCTGTCTGAGGGGAAAATATTTTTTAGTCCATTCATTTAGTTCCCCTCTCAGATAGACAAAGCACTCCACAAATCTTTGACAGAGGTCTGAAGATGCTTGTTACTGCTCCTGTTTATCTGTGGCTTGTCTCCCTCACTCTCTCAAAGCCAAAGCTGCACATACCAACTAACTAACTATCCTTCCATTCAAGGAGGACCAGTAGCAGCTCCTTCATACAGACAGCAGCACCATCACCTCACTTGCTCCTCACCTGGCGACGGGTGTGTTTCTTGTGATGCTTTTTTACCTGGGGGAAAGAGCAGCAGTCAAACTGGAAACAGCACCAGGCAGAGATTTGCAGTAGGAAGAGAGGTTGTCAGTCTGGATTTCCTTAAAACCTGGATTTCCTTTCTGGATTTTCCTGCTTCCAAATGTTGGTGATATGTGTTCCTGCTCTGGCTGGGACTAAGACCTTCATCTTGTAAACAAACTGCACTGGAAGCAGCACGTACGAGTTACAGCTCCTGTGGCTCAGATTAAACCGTAAATGTTTGCAATTAAATTTTTAACAGCTTGAAGCAGAAAAAACAAACTGCAATTTGCAGAATTTCAAGATGTTCTTCCCCTAATTCTTCTCCCATGTGAAAGAGAACATACTGAGGTTAAAAGAACAGGCTCCAAGTATGCTGTCACCTGTCACAGCCTTTCTGTTTAGAAGAGACACTGCTGATATAAATGTAGTGTATTTCTCCCTGTGATCGTGTTTCTTGACAGAAGGATAAACAGAGTCGTTTTCCCTTTCCTTGAAAACAGCAGAAACAAACACAAGCAAGTAGCTTCTGGACACACATTCCCATGTCTGCTGGTCCTGACAAAGTCTGACCTTGAAGGGGTTCCCCTCCATGTGAGGGGTGGGGGGAGAAAAGCTCCTTGTTTTCTCTGTCCTCTGTCAAGCCAACACAAGCACATCAACCATGACCACATCTGGGCAAGCAGGGAAGTCCCTGACTTTGTGAAGGAAATGGAGACTAGATCTTTGAGAGAGGGCTTCCATTGTTCATCTGCCTTTACTACATTAGAAGAGGGTAGTTATTCTTTCTACTGAGCCTGGCAGAGTATGCATGACGTGTTTGTGACTGTAATGGGATGTGTGAGGATTGTGGATTAAAGCCTTGCCCCAAGACTGTTATTAGCATTTTTCAGTGTAATAATGAAGAGACGAAGGTGCACCATCTAATTTAGGTCTTTCAGCAATTCATCTCAAGACAGTGCCCAGATCTCTCTATTGATTGGATTGGAAGACACGGTCTTACAGACCTGGATAGGCAGGGGACTGACCCACCCATCGCTCCTTTGTACTCATAAGCTATAAGAGCTCTAACATCTGAAGTGCTGTGATGAGTGGATACCTGAAATTTAGAAGGAGGAAGGTGAGCTGGGGAAGAGGGTTATGATCTGCACAGAGAGGAGCAGCTCAGATGCACGAAATTCTGCTATGGACTGTGTGATGGCCAGGAGCAGGGGGAAGACCAACACATGGTAGGCACCTGCCACAGATCACCTGGCCAAGAAGACAAAATAGATGAAGCCTTCTCTAGAAAAGTGGAAGAAGTGTCACTGTTTCAAGATCTGGCTTTAATAAGATACACTACCTGACCTGAAATTTGCTGGGCAGGAAACACTGAGGGACAGAAGCAAGCCAGATTTCTGGAGTGGGTCAGGGATGATTTCTTGACATAGGTGCTGGCCAGGCTGAGCAGGGAGATGCTCTGATTGATTTGCTGCTTACAAACAAGGAAGGAATAACTGGGGGGTTGATGGTCAGTAGAAGTCTTGGAGAGACCAAGAAGTGGTAGAATTTAAGATCATGAGAAAACAGAGAAAAGTGAGTAGCAGAGCAATGACCCTGGGTTCAGAAGAGCAGACTTTGGCAAGCTCAGGGAACTAGCAAGCAGCTTCTCATGGGATATTGCTGTGAAGAGTAAAGGGACATGTAGGGTTAGGTGACCTTCAAGGACCATCTCCTCAAAGCCCAAGAATGACCCATACTGTCATGCAGGAGGTTAAGCAGCCAGTGCATAAGACCAGCTTGGGTGTACAGAGAACTACTGATTGAACTCACACATAAAAAGAAAACATGTAATGAGGGAAAGCAGGGACAGGCAATCCAGGAGCAGTGCGGAACTACAGTCAGGCAAGAATGGGATTAAGAAAGCCAAACCTGGGCTGGAGGTGATAGCTGGTGATGATGGAGAGGGCAACAGGAAGGGCTTCTGGGTCCACTGCTGAATAGGGCAGATCTAATGATGAAGGACACACAGAAGTCTGAGGTTCTCAGCATTTAATTTGCCTCAGCCTTTACTGGCAGAGTTTGCTCACAGGCATCCATCTAATGGCAGAGTTTGGAAAAGGGAGGTACTACCCACAGCTGAAGAGGGTGATGGTGGAATCACTTAAGTAAACTGAAAGTATACAAATCCCTGAGACTAGATGAGATGAAACCCAAATAGGCAAAAGGAAAAAAACTCTCAATAGTGAGGGTTGTCAGGCACTAGAGCAAGTTGCCCAGAAAGTGTCTGTAATTTCTATTCTTGGAGGCTTTCAAAAGCCAGCTAGATGAGGCCTTAAGAAACTTTCTGTTTCATTAAGCACAAGATTGCATGAGATTCCTGCAGAAGTCCTTTCCAACTTATTTTTTTCTGTGATTCCCAATAAGCAACTGAATGTAAACATAAGATCCCCTGGAAATGTGCCTTAAATTGCACAACTCTGAATGTAGCATGTCCTAAATGCCACACAGCCCCCAAATCACCCATCAGACATGGGAATCTAAAGGAGAGGGTAGCAGTGGTGGTCCAGGGACTGGAGCTGCTAGAAAGGTCTCTAAACTGTGTGGTTGTGAGGATTAGGAGGGTTTAAACTGTGTTTTCTGCTGCTTCACTCTAATCAGTCACCCTTTAGGTGTGCTGTAGGTGCTCCAGGACTTCCTGTACTGAACCTCCTAGTGCTCACTCGGTGTGTTGGTGTCACATTCTCCAAGGACTTCATGAGCCCCAACAGATCACTCTCTGATCCGACCCTATCAGATCTCTCTAACAAGAGTCCTGTGTGGGCTGAGACCTTGCTGAAGACTGAGTTAACATCAACATGATCAACTGTGGCAGCTCATAATGGATCTGTTCTTGCTTCATGGAGCTGGCAGAGCTTACTGGCACAGCAGTGAGTGCAGTGAAGGTCTTGCCACTTAGGAGTTACCAGCAGACAAGATCTCTGAAACATACCCCAAGCAGACCTGGGGTTTCTTGTTATGCTTTTACCTTGTCCCTGAATGGCTGCTGCTTCAGATGTTGCACAGCTGCTGGTTCATCACATTCATACACACAGAAAGGCTACTGTAACCACTTCAGGTTTAATTTAGGTTTAATCGGTGTTTTGGATGTGTGAACATTTTTTATTTCAACACACTTTCAGAAAAGTTTTGTTGGAGGCTCCTTAATCCTCTGGAGACTTCCAGTTGGAAGCACAAGCAGATTTTCCAGGCTTGTACCAACAGACCATGTATCTGGACAAACAAGACACTCCATCCCCTGCTGACAGTACATGGAGCCACGAATGTCCTGGAGCAAAACCCAGAAAATTTCTGAAGCTTCTCTGTGGATGATGAAACCCTGGAGAGTAAAACCCTACAAGAACCAAGCTTAACTTTGCAGTAAGGATGAAACTTTGAACAGGACAAAGTTGCACCTGCCTTTTAGCAATGAAAGAGACAATTTAGATCATCTCTTTAAGTAGTAGCCCTTCTGCTTGATGTTGAGTCTGAAATACTGTCTGATGACAGTCCAAATGTGAGTCCCATGTACAACCTTTCAGAAGATGTATGACTCTGGAAAGGTGAAAAACCTTGCTGAGAGTATGTCTGCATTAAAATAATGGGGGTTCTGTGCAATTCTAAGTGTTCATTTCCAATCAGACCTTGATTGCTGTTTTACTGTCCTCTTGGCATGAGTAGAATTAACACAGAATCATAGAACTATATTATTCTTTTTAGTTTTATACTTCCTTTCCACAGTCAGAAACACCTGAGTGTTGTGACTAGAATACCACACAAGAGGGGACATTCTGTTCGAAGAAGACAAAACTGATGTACAACACTGAGCAGAGGTTTGTAGCAAAACAGGGAAGTCACGTAAAAATCCAGGATTCTAGCTTTAATATCAAGAGTAATTTACTGCTTAAGTGGTCTTACATGTAATACAATAAGCACTGCAGGATAAGAATTGTTTCTGGGTTGTTGGGTTTTTTTAATTGGAAAACATCACTGAAAGATTCCTGTCAAAACAAACATCACTGTTCCTGGGAAAGCAACACAGATGAATTGGCTGTGAGTTCTGGATTTCTCTATAATCTAATTTAAAACAGAACAAAGAAGAAAGAAATCAGTGGAATAGCAACCTCACAGAGTAAAAGAACATAATTCAAGTGTTAAGAGGACATTTACAAACACCATTATCAATGCTAAAACATTGGTTCAGCTTTTCAGGGAGTTCTAGATGCGTCTTTGTCAGTTATATTGAAGGTCAGAAACTGGCCCAAATACTGTATTTTCTTTGTGGTTTCACATTCTCATCTGAGGCATCATCCAAGCCAAACTCATCCTTGATGAATTAATATCAATGGAGTCATGTGCTAGGAGTGCAGCCCTTTCAGTACTCATCAGTCTAGTATCAAATGGGTATTTAATTGCCTGGTTTGCAGAACTGACCCCTGGCTCTCACTCAAGCCACCCCCTGCGACACAACATGGGTGTTATGGACCCGTTGCACCCTTTTTCCCCCTCACTGTCCCAAGTACCTGCAGACCTTCCCATCCAAACTTGTGAGATACGTTCAGGTACAATAATGCCACTTGGCTTAGCCCAAATCTTTTTGTCATGCTTCTGCTTCTCAGTAAGATCAGCTATTTCGATGTTTTAGTTCACAGTAAACCTCCTCTGGGGATACAGGGCATGGCTGAAACCCCAAGATGGGACCTGTGAGAGAGGGGGGGACTGCTGAAGAGACCCTGTGGCTGCAAGGGAAGGAGAGAGAGAGAAGAGTCCGTATAGGTGCTGGTAACCTTGGCTGGGAACAGCTCTCCCAGCTCTGAGGAGGTCGGCAGTTGTTGGACATGGAGCACTGGTACTCATGGTGTACTTGCAAGTGGGTCCCAGCTCCTCAGTGTCACCATCTTGGAGGGACAGAGGGGAGCCCCATGGCTTCTGAAGTCACACGTGCTTTTTGCCTTTCAGGGAAAGACAAGGGCCCTGTCTGGAAACAGCCAGCACAAGACAGCCAGTGGAAGGCACTTTCAGAGAACAGCACAGAGTTATTTTGATCTCACACTATGCACTACGTTTGCTATTTATCCCCGAGTGTCTTTTCTAGCGCTGTGTTTATTTATACTCACACAACCACAGCCCCCTCGGTGACAATGTCAGTAATTCTCAGTGCAGTGGCATTTGTAGTGGTGAGCAAAAGGCAGGAGCCAGTCCCCATCAGTAGCAGGGTGTCCAGTGACGATGGCACTATATCACAGGGAACTTGGAAATTCTTAGCTTGCTCTCACCTGGAAAAGGAATGATGAAAGAGGGAGATGGAGCTCAAAAAGGCAAGATGCAAAGGCATCCCCATAGAGGCTTAGGGGTTTTGCCAAGAGAATCAAAAATGTTTTACAGGGAATCGAGTAGATTTATAGGAAATTTGGAGATCTATGTATGTATGCCAAGGGTTTCTCATCCTTCCAAGCTTTTAGCACGGCACTTTTTAAAGTTACTTCCTGAGGTATCCCAGCTCAACTCACTCAATTCATGCTCTAGTGATGGTATTGCAGTTTGGCAAAAGGAAAATTCATTGTGTCCAAAAACTTACCATTTTACTCTCTTAAGAAAGAAATGATCCTGTGAGATTCAACATACTCAGCTATTATTTACATCAAAGAAATGAGCTGGTTCTTTTGATGACCTTTGAAAAATGCAACTTGATTTGTTTGAGCATTTTAAAGGTTTTTTAAAATCCTATTTGATAATATTATGCAATAATCAAGGCACACACAGCATCTGGACCTGCATGTTCTGTTGGCAAGTGTGCCTGCCTGTTCAGAGGGGCACAAATTTCCTGGCACTGAGGAGAGTGATACCTCAGGGCTTTTTGAGGATTAAGCCTTGGTTCCCTGTGCTGACATTCTCCATAAAGGTCAGTTA